AGTGCATAATTATATCTGCGATTGTACGGACTGCGTTACTTCATTGTTGGGATGCATATGTCTTGTTGAAACGAGGAAGGTAATTCGATTTCACTGCCTTTATACAATTATATTAATAATTCTTCTTTCTATAATTTTACCTTGCAAATTATTTTCAATCATGTTAAATACGTAATTTCCTAATTTGATATTTAAATTAAACGTTTCATTTGCATTTTATATTGTTAAAATTTATTATCCCTACTGTACAAAGGGTAATTTTAAATAATAAATAATGACGTACAGAAATTATATCAGCAATTATATATCGTTTGGCAAGATGATAGATGTATCTGAGTTTGAAAGTACAAATAAATCGAGAAATAACGAATGACAAAAGACGATTGATCGTGGCTATAAAATTGAAACACGATTCCTCGACGACAAGAGAGAAATATAATTAGTAATTCCGAAGGAGCTTAATTTCTCCGTCTGAAAGTTTCGCGCGAATCACTGTAGCCACTCGTACGAAAACTTTCGGGGCAGTGAAAGTTCGCCGCTTAGCAATTTCGCGTTCGGGAAATTGATTGGAATATCTCGAAACTTGCGAATTGAAACTGAGAAGTTTCTCTTGGGAGCTGAAAGGGAAAAAGGAAAGGATCAGTCTTGGAAGTTTCAATTATAGAAAAAAAAAAAAAAAGAAAAAAAAAGAAAAGAAAAGAAAAGAAACACGGTTAAGAATCGAACGATCAGAATTCGTTTTTCCCTCGAGAGAAATTAAGAATCATTCTTCCACAATGGTCAAATATACCATCTTTGCGATCTTCCCTTTGTCCCTATTTTATGCGAAGAAAGAAACATCTCGAAAGGATGGAAGCAATTTTCTCTAAAGAACTATCTTTGAAACAGAAATTTTTAAACTTAGCACAAAAGAGAGAGAGAGAGAGAGAGAGAGAAATGTTCGAATTTCTTGATAATATCAGAGAGGGAAAAATAAGCATCTCGACAATGATGAAGAGTTTTTAATATTCTGGAAAAATTCCCCTGTTGTATCCTGTTGTAAGGAAGTATAAATAAAAACGACCGCGGACCTCCTTTATTTCATCGGTCAAAGTTAATTAAAAACAGCTCAATCAACCTGTTATGTTCGACTATTTAAAAATACGCGAACAAATCGACATTCCGGTCCGCGAGAACAAAGAAGAAATTGCGAAAAATGAGAAGCGAGGAGAATTGTCGAGGAAATATTGAATGGAAGATGAAGAAGGGCCTCAAAGGAGACGAAAGAATCGCGAGAGGGGGCTGTCGATTCTTCTAGAAAAGCATTTTCAACCGTTGTTTCCTCGACGGGGGTCGAGAGGTTTGCCTGCATGAAAAAATAACGATGAATCGCGACGATTGGCGGTCCAGCGTGTTTTGTTTTCGCGTACGAAAAGTCGTAAATCGTAGAAAGTGGTGAGACTATCTCTTTCTCTCTCTCTTTCTCTCTTTCTCTCTCTCCGATGTCGAGTTTCGTTTGAAAGCTTTTGCTCGATTCTTCCTTTTCTTGGATCGTTAATTAGAAATTTTACTTTGAAATTCTCAGTTTTATCAAACTTCTAGACGGATTTCCAGATTTTTAATTTTCAAAGTTTTCAATTTAAATCTTTCAAACTTATAGATAAGTAGGGATCAGAGGGAGCGAGGCGCGCGAAAAAGGGGTTGAAAATCATTTTGGGGGAAAAATAATTTAAAGGGAGATCAGGAAGAAGGGATATTTCCAAGAAATTTCGTAGCGACTTTGACAGTAATTGAAACGTACGATGGAAAATACAGGTGGATTTTTTCTGGACGTTCAGATTCGTCCAATAATGCCAGGGCATCTTCTTATCGGTAACGGATGCGAAATTCTCACCAACTTTCCCTCCATTTTCTTTTCTTCTCATAGTTCCCACAGAATTTATGCGAGACGTGGAAACTTTCCGCTGACAACAGGGGAATCTCCTCCCTTGATCCTCTTGAAAATCACGCGACACTTCTCGTTCGGAAAAAAGAAGGTAGAGAGGGGAACTGAGAAAGAAAGAGAGAGAGAGAGAGAGAGAGAGAGAGAGAGAGAGAGAGAGAGAATAA